GTGGGCTTGCCGGTGCGAACCGTAGCATTTGTTGAACGATCTTTAGTCAAAGCGGGATGCAGGAGTCTGGCAGGAGGCACGGGACGAGGGTGCGAAGGCAAGTCACGCTTGCGCCGAGGGCTCCTCGCGGCGCTCCAGCCATGCCCCGTCCTTCGTTTGTCTCTCAAGAGGCTGGTTTTGATCTCAGAAACCACAACGGTCCAGGTCAAGAGCGTCTCCAGCTCTGGAGCAGGCCGTTAAAAACGGTTGCGTTGGATACGCTAAGCACGAAGCGTGGCGTCTCACCCGTGCCGAGTGCCGTTTTCCCGCGGGTCCACACCACGGGGCGACGCTGCGGGACCCGAGCGGATACCAAACCCGCCCACCGGGCCTCACGGGCAAGCCGTTTCCCCGCGCAGCGAGTCCGGGGAAAGCCCTTATCTCGGCGACGTGGCTTCCTTTCAGGTCGCGGTTTATTTGACCTTTCGGTCGTTGAGTAAGTTCAGTTTTTGCCAGGTTTTCTTCAGCGGCGAGGGGGGAAAAAGGCAAAGCTGGTGGTGCTGGTGGGAGGCTACTCTGCAGCTGGGTGGGATTGGGAGGAGCTCGTCTTTCTGGTGCTGTTCCCAGGGCGCTCATGACTTCAGGGTTGTCCGTTTGCCCAGGGTTTGGGATGGGTCTCGGCTGAAGCTCATTTCAGCGAGCCCGATGAGAACGAAGAGCGTGGGCTGAATTTAAGCGAGGGCGATTGAGAGCGAATATCGGGGAGTAAGACCCTTTCTTGGCAGCGTCGCAAGTTGACTCGGACGTGGGATATCGCAACCTGCTCCCTGGAGATGCTACAAATGCAGCTGGAGAAATGACGAGTGCATGACATAGGAAATAGCTCCATAGCTCGACAGCAAGTACCGATGGGTGGCGCCTACAGAGGTGTCTCGTAGTGCTTGGGAAGCGCTTCCCTGGGCAGAGCGGGGCCGTACACGGCTTGGACCCTGCTCCGGCCAAGAGTGGGACATTTCCCACCTTGCTCCTGTTCGCCTGTGCTTCTCGATCCGTCCCTCTTCGGGAGGAGATAACACATTTTTAGGAGCTTTTTGAGATCTACAAGGGGAAAAAACACCATCAGAACCGTCTGTTTGTGTTCGAAAGGGTTCGGGGGGAAAGCTTGGGGGTCGCTGCCGGGAAAACAGTTTTATTGGTGTCATCATCGTGTGATTTTGCAGGACGTTTCCGGAGAGGAGAAGTACAGCGTGTGCCATGCACGTTCAGATTATTTTAGGTTATTATTTATAGCATGGGTATATGTTTCTTGTGCGTTTAGTGAGCGAGGGCAAATGCGCTGGGCATTGCACATGCGAGAGGTCCCTCCGCCCCGTCCTGAGCCGCTTGGCGGGCACACGTTGTACAGCTCGGACTTCGCTGCTGCAGAGCTTTTGTTTCTAGGCACAGAGCTAACAGGTCATAAATGTTGCTTTTGTCAGGCTACCAGAAATCCAGAAGAAGCTGTAAAGACGTCGTAATCCACCCCGACCAAATTCTAAAGTGAATAAAGAGGATGCAGTGTGCTGCAGATAGGCAGCAGCTCTGTAAATCCTGCTGCCGTGCCGCTGGAGATGGTGAGGAGGAGCAGGAGAGCTAGTCCACTTGCTCCCTCTCCTCCTTCTGGCCTCACAGTTCTTGGGCATTTGGGGTGAAGGTCCTTTGCCGTCCTCTTCCCACACATTGCATTTAGGTTTTCTCAAAGAAGACTTATTTGCACCCGCGTTCTTAATTGCCCCTAAAACCAAGTACTTAACCTTCAGCGCCGCATTCCCAAGCTTGCTCCTCTATGCGGATTTCTGTTCTCACCCAAAATTCGCTCGCTCCCTGCTTCAGCTCTGTTCGCCTTGGCTAGTCCATTGTCGTCTCCTGCTGGGGATGTGTGAACGCGTGCATAAATCTTTCCGGTCTGAATACGAACAGTGACCCCTGCTGCACATGTAAGTCCTTCCTTCCAGTGGCGTGCACACAAGATGCGCAGCAGGGTCCTTGGTTTGGAGGAGTCTGGGGTCCATTGCATCACGTGGTCAGTAACTGTTCTTTGCTCTCTTCCCCAGGTCAACATGGATTTGTGGGTCTTTCTCCTTTTGCTTGGAAGTGGCCTGATAAGCGTAGGTGCTAACAATGTTACGACAGGTAAAATACGCTCCTTGTCTCCTCTCTTTGTCTCTAAACCGTCTTTCGGCTCAAGGGAGTAAGCGCTCACCTGCTTGATGGCTGGATGGCTTGGCCCTTCAGCCCTGGAGTTCACTGTACAGGTGGCTGAGAGAGCATGGCAGGCTGGAGGTGCTCCTAAGTGGGACTTGCAGATTTTTCCTGTAGCAAATATTGATCCTCTCTTGCAGTGACTGTAACCTTTCTCGATCTCATAGATGTATTTAAGCTATCTTCTTTGATAGGAGTCACCTCACCGTATGGTGTAATGCATTCTCTGCCTTGGACTTGGGGTTGTTTGGTTGTTTTTCTGCTGCTTTTCATCCGTGTGCTCACAGTAACGCGCATCTCCAGCAGCTAAATCCTTCGGTGCCACAGAAGGGCGTCTCACGGAGGTCCCCTTGCGATTTCCTTGTTTGCAGAGCCGCCCACGACTGTGCTCACTTCCCCCAGGAGTCCCATCAAAGCAACGACAACAGGCGTGGAGAGCAGGACGCCGACTAGCGCACCGAGCCTCAACCGGAGCTGCCTACAACGGCAGCGACCAGGCCTTCCCCTACCACCACCGTGGTCGGTCTCAACACCTCCACCCTCGGGGCAACCCTGCCCGCGCCTCCGGCCACCTCTGCTCTCCCCAGCGCGACACCGTCTGTCCCCAACGCCGCTCTGCCAGGCACAGAAGAGGAGTCGACAGAGAGGAATTTCAGTGTGACGGTGACAACTCAAGAGACCTCTTCCGCTTCCCACAATGGTGGGTGGTTTTTTTCACTTCTTCCTCTCCAGATTTCCTTACCTCTTGTTTCTTTTCCCTTCTCTTGTTTCCTGAGAATAAAAGGAAAAAAGACTCTTTAGGGCTAATTCCAAGATGATCTAAAATAGTATAACTCACTGAAGGGACTAGATCAAAACAGATTTATCCTACTGAAGGTCTGGGCTTTTTAGTTTAAACAGGAAAACAACAGCACAACGGCCCCCTGGAAGCAGTAGTTTGGCGCCAACGTGCTAGGGTACGAGAAGTCCTAGGATCTCGTTCCACTTTCATCACAGAGGGATTTCAGCTCTTTTTGTGGTTTTCTGAGTGTAAAATAGGGCTAGGGCTGCACAGCTCCCAGGTGCTGGCCAAAAAGTTGAGCCTTAATGGGTCTGTCAAAGCAGTGGTAATAAATCTCCCTGGGATTGTGCTCAGCTGCAGAACTTTGATTTTCCACAGTGTTGCTACACAGGCCTTTTATTTGTATTTTGGTAGCAACCGTGGGCTACAGCCACGCTTTTTGACGCTCATACACAAAAAGGTCCCTATCCCAAGAGACCTGAAACCTTGGTTAGAGGGGGCCAGCGAGGGGTGGGATCTGGCCCCTGGGGAGTGCTGATGAGCTATCTAATTGTCCAAAATTAGCCAAGCAGAGGATGAAGGATGAGGCTGCAGTTCTGTGTCCCATGTGGCAGGTTTTATTCGGGAAGGTGAATGCAGCCAGCGTGGTGCAGGGCGAAGTCCAAAGCCGAGCCTGCAGCTCCTGCAGCATCACTGAGAATTTTACGGTGCCCTTGTGGTTTTGGGAACAGAGCATGGGTGCATCCGGTCTGACTTTCCGTGGCACTAGCTCATGCTGAACTAATGCGTGGATGTGTAAATGCTGCATTTGCCAGCACGTCCTATAATGCTTACGTTGTCAGTCTTTTCCCCTTTCCTTGGCCTGATTTAATCTTTCAAAGACCTGGCCAAAGCAGAATCCTCTGTGTTATCATCCTGCTATCATTTCTGCCTTGGCACTTTATGGAAACGTCCCCCACGAATGTAGAGTTTGGCTGTTCAGTGTAGGTTAGGAGCATAGATCAGGCAGAAAGAGGCTGAGCTGATTGGAAATCTTAGCTGATCAGTGACTCTTCAGCCCTACTTTGCCCCTTGCTGCATCATTTGGGACCCAGCTTCAATGCTGCCTGCCTCTTGAGCTGGAAACGTTGCATACCAGCACCCGCTGGAGCCTGGAGTGAAAGCCGTGAGGGCGCAGGGTTTAGTGAAGAACCAGGGTTGTTAACTTGGTGGTGAGACAGGACGGATCAAAAAATCAGGTAATATGGAAGAGTTAATGCAGGGAGAAGTCAAGAGTCTAACTAATCCCTTAAGGATTAGCTTCTGAAGAGAAACTGGGTGTTGGGTACCTAAATCCCTCTTAAAATCTGTGGCGTCTGGGTGCCCTCCTCCTTTAGGCGTCTTTGGAAACTGCCGCCAGGGAAAGCAGCAGGGAAGCTGTCTTTCCTATTGGTATGGGAAGGGATGTGGCTGGAGGGAGTTCAGAGCCCGCCTTTTTTAGCATCCTGCCAACACAGAAATCATCCAGCTTACTTGCAAACACAGTTCCTCAGAGCTTTTATGCAGAACAAAGGAATCCGAACTAATCCTAAGTACAGTGCAAGTTTAGCTGAGAATGACCCTTTAATGGGACAAATGAAGGCAAAAACCTAAGTAAGTGCTGCTAAGATTTGGATTTTGCAATATGATGTCTACTATCAAGGGGCCGAATTTATATTTTTCATGTCTTGGCTGTGATTTTTATGACTCGGGTTACTGTTTATTCTTAACTCCAGTGGTGCCCACTGTGGCAAGTCGGGCATTGCTGATGCTTCTCACTTCATACCAGGCCTCAGGACAGACGACTGACCTGATCCTTCCTTCCTTTGAGCTAAATTACCAAGGAGCAAAAATTAGCACTGGGGCCACCCTTTTGATTTAATCTCCATGGGAGAGGCGGATATCAGTCATTGAGCAGTTAAGCGGTCTCCTATATGAGATGGCTCAAAGGAGGCGTAGCTCAAGGGAAGGAATGGGGCAGGAGATCCTCGGTGAATTATGGTGTCTACAGGCAGTTCCTGCTTCTCTCCGCTTAAAGACCTTGTCCACCACCCCACGCCACGGTCCTGCACATGCAAAACGAGGGCATGGCGGGCCCGTGCCTGTGGCGTCGGGTGGGGAGAGCCACAGTCCGCTCCCGGCTCTGCCGCCGACCTGCTCTGGAGCCTTGAGACTGGCCCTTCAGCCCCCCGCGCCCCCGTTTCCCGCGCGTATGGAGGCGTTGGGAGGGATGCTCTGCCCTGCCGTGCCGCGGGGCGGACCCGGTGAACAAGCGTATTCCTTCCAAACTCAAATGTCAAGAAGCGGAAATGAGGCGACACCGCCTCGTAGCGAAGCTGCCTTAAACTCTGCGGCCAAAACTATTACAAGTGGTTAGAACAGCAAGGGTGGCCGGAAGGGAGAAGGCTTCGTTCACAGGTTTGCTCTGTTTTCCCCAAGATGAAACAGCCAAAAAGGCAGGTAGAGGCTTCTCTTGGACACTCGTAGTCCCTGCCCTCCTGCCCAACTGCTTTTAATTGCACTCTTGGCTCAATCACTCTTTAATGCACACCTATTATCTCTTAATATTAAACTGCTAATGAATTACACCAGTGGCTTGCTTATGATAGGCTTAAATGGATTATGTCATTAAGAGCAGTGTGTTTATAGATGTTTATGGCTCGGCTTCAGTGCCCTCTTTGGCTGTAGAGGCTTGTTTTCCTTAAGAATTTCTTAAGGTAATTTCTTAAGGTACGTTTATTTTTTGCGTATGCCGTTAACCGAGTTCCTTAACAGTGTATCGTAATCTTTATTTTTAAAATTGGCCTTTTTTACAGCAGCCCTCAAAGGTCTCTGCCCGGCTTTTCCCTTAGGGAACGAATCTGCTTGCGCGTTGTCAATTCCACACGCTCAGGCACGACGTGTGAATTTGAAGGTAAATCTTCAAATTTGAGGAGGGAAAAGGAGAAAATACGTGTTTCTTGTTTTCCCCACTGGCTCGCAAACCAAAAGGCAAAATAAGTTGTTTTCAGGCTTTTCTTCATAAGCAGGAAAGCTGGAAATGTCCTTTTGCTCCTTTTTTCTCTACTAATAAGTGAACGCTGAAGGTCATTTTAATCTCATGCTGTAGTAGCTCTCATTTGACAAGGAAGACTTGCAAGAAGATTACTGGATTTGTTACTGCCTCAATCTGTGATCTTTCCTTACTTATTCAAATGTGTATTTCTTTGTTGCTAAGAGAGTTTCTTTTTATTTTTTATGCAGGTAACTCTGACAGAAGAGGTAAGAATCTTATATTTCACTGCTCTTTATTTAGACATTTTCAGAAATATTCTGCTATGAGGTAGCTCCCCTTGATGACACAACTCAAAAATTACTATTACGAAACGTATCAAGCCCTTTAGAAGAGCTGTTGACATACTGATCTCCGAATAAGTGCTAGGCTTTTGTGTTGAAAAATAAATAAATTCAGCCCCAACCGGTACCTGTCCTACTGGATATGAGAAGCTGCTGCTCAACGCTTCAAAAATATCAGCATTAGCTTTCCTTAAAGTTGGAGGCACAATTTGCAAGAAGCTGTTCAAGAAATTTCCTTCTATTTTGGCTGATGAATTGGCCTTACTGATATCGCCTGGCTCTGTTTGATCGGGAGAGTTGTTCTGCGGATGATGTGAGTAATTATTATTCTCCTCAATTCAGTTGGCAAGCTGTCATAAAAATCCATTTCTGTAATAGTTTTTACCCTCGTTTTTTCCATCTCCGATTGGATGACTTCGTTCAGGGAATTGAGATCGCTAAAAGCATATTGGCAATTACACGTTGCTTTAGCCGTACAGGAATTAATGAGACCAGAGGTATAGCTAGAAACAAGCTCTCTGGGTGCATTTCATCATTATTCCGATCAGTATTTCAGCTTCATAAACTACATGATGATCCAGTTAGACGCGCTTTGGTGTGCTTAACTCGTGCTCTCCTGCTGGTGTGGATGGTATAAATGCAAAGACCAAAGCGCTGCAATATTTGTTATCAATGTGTCTGAGACTGGACATTGGCGTAGTGGAAACAAAAGGGACACAGGCGCGAGAATTCATTTTTGAAAATGCTTAAACGCTTGCAGAAATGCTCTGCATCATCCCCGCGGGTCTGGCACAGCTTGTAGGTTATTTAGTGCTCTCTCTGGCGCTGTTAATCCGTTGTCCCGAGAGCACAGCAACAACAAAAATGGCAAAAATCTGACTTTCTAACGCTGGTGCTGTTAATATTTTCCATATCCTGTGGCTTAGAGGATTATTCTGGGGGATCGGTCAGAAATCCTGGTTCTCTGGTACCGAGAAGCAGCGCTAGGAGCAAAACTGGGATGTTGTGATTTTTTCTTGCCCCTTGGTGTAGGGTTGGTTCGCGGGTAGGTTTTTCTGACATACGCACGTCTTTTTTTTTTTAAATCATCCCCCCTTACCAATATAACGCTCACTGAGAAAACAGACGTAAGGTATAGCAATAGCAAGCTGAGATCGCTTGTATGGCTTTTCCATAGAAAGGTGAAACTCTGCTAGATTAAGGGGGCTTTACCACTAAGCCCTTTTAAGTTAACCAGACCTGGAAACCTGCAGCAGATTAAGACCAGATTCGTTGACTTCTGCAGGACTGATCAGTGCGGGATGAGCTCTGCTATGAACTGAATGTCTTTGAGCTTGTGCTGGAGTTTTCTTTCTTTAAGGAGTATTTGGAGCAAAAACTAAAGCCGCTTCACGAAGTCATGAGCCCTTGGCACGAATGGCTCCTGACATCGGGAAAGGGAATCACGAAACGATTTTGAATCTCTGGTGTTGGGAAGAGGAGAGATAGGTAGTTTGCCTGCCAAGGAAGTTACATGAATAACCTCATTAATGATATTCCAGAATTAAAAGCCCTGCTGACGAATTGCTGGTTGAGGGTTATTGTGAAGGAGAGGAGCAGACAAGCGCTTTTCCTCCAAGTTAATGAAAACCTTCTGCATCTTATTTCTCACCTTCATGCTGTCGAGGGGGTTGGCCCACAGCCGTCAGTAATACAGGCGCTTTGGCAGAGCCATTGCAAGTGATAGGAGACGTTGCGGGGGAGTGCGTGCGGTGCGGTTTGCGCATACGTGTGCGGGTACCTGTCTCTCTTACACCACGAACAGAGCTGCTGGTGCTTTGGGCAGAGACCTGCAAACCGGTGGCGGACTTTGCCGCAAGACGAGCTTTGCCTCAGATACTCTTTCCGCAACGCCGTTCGATGCACAGATTTTCAAACCAGAACCACAGTTACATCCCCCGGTCCGACCCCTCGTGTAACATGTGGCTGTTGCCGAAATTTCAGGCAGGACTGAGTTTTTGATGCAAAGGCTTAGATCTGGATTAACTCTTCGGCCGTAACCGTGGAGGAGGTAGGACTAGCTCAGCAGTGGTTCCTTTAGGCTGGTGCTAGACGCACAGGGGCTTACAGAGAGCGGCTGGAGGGGAGTCCCTCTCCTGCTCCTTCCTCCCAGCCCCGAGGACTGCGGCCTCGGTACTGTCAATAAATCTTTGCACTTGCCGCCCTGTTTACTAGGATGAGTTCTTCTTTGCCAACCCTGCTTATTTTTATAGCTCGAGCAATAGGACGGAGAACGTGGACATGCCAAATCGTAGCTTCGAAACCGCATCAAAATAACCAGACCCAGGTTTTTAGTGCAGAAAGCACTTAAATCTTTTTTCTCGGTACTAGCATTCAGCTATCCAGCTGCCAATTTAATGAGTAAAAGCTTAGGGAGAAACCCATCCCTGGGCAAACACGGATTCCTGCCGAAGCCCGAGGAGTCATTCCAGGTGAACGTGGCCCCTTTTGCTCTCCGGGAGGTCTCTGACACCGGGCACGTCCCCCTTTTTAGAAAAAGAGCCAAAATAAACTGGCATTCCAGTGTCTGATCTTGTTATCTTCAATAGCTTCATTTTTTCGTGTTTAAAATGAGGGTCAAACTTCTTCTTTTGGCCAACTTTGGAACCCAAGCCGGGACTCGTCGGGACGGGGGCTCTTGCAGCACCTTGCAATGCTTCCATCTCCTGCGGCGCGGTTTGAAGTCTTTGCTTTTCCTGGAGCTGATTTTAACCAAATTCCTGCCCTTCCTCTTTCCCCCCTGCTTCCTTTTTCACCCCTGGTTTTTGTACGCAGGATACTGCCCTAGCCTTAATTCCCAAACCTGTGCCCAGCCACGCGGGCGCATTTGCAGGGCTCACCACGTCTGTTGGAGAAGGAGGAACCTGCTGGGGGCCCGCGAGTTTGCTCCCACCCGGGCTTTGCCCGGCGAGCCGGTCAGCAAAGGGGGATTAAGAGCTGTGGCGGAAAACCTCTAACTCACGCTGGCTCTGCCCCGTGGCCACGCGCGCAGCTCCTGCTCTGATAGGCGTCGAGCAGCACTTTGGAGCAAGCAGGCTCCTTCGGTTCCTGCTTGGAAACACTGTTTTAGCCGTGTTTCCTAGTGGGTAGAGCAATGAGTGAAAACTCACGTTATCTCTTTGTACTTCTCCCGTGCCGTCACCTTTCTGCAAGACCAAACGATGTCCCCTCTCTCAGCTCCTCTCTCCGCAAATGCGGATAACCCTATTTTTGCATTCGAATGCCCAAACGTGAGGTGCGTGGCAGAAAAGGTAAGGGCTTGGCTCGGAAACCCCACGTTTACTCTGCCGCGCTGCTCTTGCCTTTGGAAAGGATCGCGGTGGGTAGCGCTAAAGCTCCAAGTGAGGGTGAAGAAGAGGGATTGCGTGCAAGTAAACCATCCTGCCCTCGGCTGCTGGGCGACATACAGACTCAAGGGCATGATGGATGAAAAAAACATATAAAGACTTGCAGGACTAGGCAAGTTTTGGGTTTTGATTCTGTTTGCAAAGCTAGGTCGTTAAAATCGTTACAACAAGTGATATCTCTCGTGCAGGATTGAATTTTACTCTTTCAAAGTGAGAAATTGTAAAGCTGTTTGCTCTGTCGCCGGATGGCACCGGCTGGTTTGAGACAGTTGTTAACCGCCCCTTTCTTTTCCTTTTGCAGATGAGACTCCGATTATAGCTGTAATGGTGGCCCTGTCCTCCCTTCTAGTCATAGTATTTATTATTATTGTGCTGTACATGTTAAGGTAAGACATGCTTTTAGCGCTGACTTCCCTTATTTGACAGAAATTAATTACTGCGCAAACAGGAATAAGCAAACGGCCGCTTTCGATCGTGAATCTTTTGTTCTGTTTCCTAAGCTAAGCAAGACCGATGCAGGCAGCCTTTTAAAAAGGAACCTAGGAGGATAATGAAAATGCCGTTTTGGTAATTTAATCAATGGAGCTTATTCCTTCGCTAAAACGCTGCTGCTGGCCAGCCTGTGTCGGAGGCGGCTGCGGGAAGAAGTCTCCCTGCTCTGCTGGGGGCTTGGAGACCTTCCCTGCAAGGCGCTATGTTGCTGCAGCTTTTTAGTAAGATTAGGCGGTGCTGTCGCTGGATCTGTGATGTACTTTTTTAGGTCCGTTTTTAAAGAAACCAAACATCCGGGCTGCTCCAAACTACATCCTCAATTCCAAACTACATCCTCAATTCCCAGCTCCCGAGCGTGAATCTGCTCAGCTACAAAAGAGCGTTTATTCACCTGCAGTAAACATTTCAATTTGCTAACTGTTCTGGTGATTAAATCATGATAATAATAGTAAAAAAAAGGCAATTTCCTTAGTGGTGGAAAAATTCCCTTCGTTTCTTGGCTCAGGGCCTGGCTTCGCAGCAGTGAAGTCGCTGAGATTTTTTGCCTCGAGAGTGCTGCGGTGGCAGCGGCGGCGTTTGAGTCCTCCCCGCCGGGAGGGTTTTTACTCTCCCTGCCCCGACGATTCAGCAACAGGCTTAACTTGAGGCGACGGGCGCGTATAGCAGACGCTTCGGGTTAAAAGCCCACGGAGAAACGCTTCGCTGAACAAGGACGGATTAAACGCGCGTTTTGGGCGCTTTGCTGAATGAGGCTACGCAGCAGAAGCTCCCGGGGGCGCCTGCTGTAAAAACCCTCCCGTCCCTCCTCGTTGCCTGCAGCCTTCGGACTCTCGGTTGGTTAAAAGTTGCGCTCTGGGGTTTTATAGCTCCCGTTAGTGCCGTTTGCTCGTTAGCCTTAACAACTCCTGGATGCAACAGCGGATTCGTGCAGTCTTGAGAAAGGGAAACACCATTCGAAGTCGCCTGGACTTGGCCTTCAACGGGCACCAGCTGCTTTCTGCAGGAGCAAATTTGTCTTCCTTTTACAGTTTCCAAAACCCTTGCGGTTACACTCAGATCAAATACACGGAAACGGCAAGAAGCAACACATGCTGAGACGGTGGCACGCAATTAGTGCCAAATTCGGACATCTTTCTGCAACATGAAATAGATATTCCTCACCTGCGCCCTGTTGGGATGCCGGTCCTGGGTCTGGGTCGCACCTTTGCAGCCGGGAAAACGGGGAGGAAAATCCTGCCTGCCTGCCCCGGCGGCATTGAATTTGCAGCTGATAGTCTCCTTTCGCTCGCACTTTGTGCAACTTGGAAAATAGGTTTGAAGACAGGAAAAAATCAGGGTCCGGGGTGGGCGAAAGCTTGGCTGCTCCACAGATGCTGCCAAGGATGTGTGGAAGTTAAAAAAAAGTCAGGAAGTAAATGGAGAAAAAGCACGCTATAGAGCGTAGACCTGAGTGGGCACTTGTCATCCAGGAGCTGCCCTGGCTGAATCGATAGGTAACTCCTAACTTTCTGCACTTTCTTTTCTTCGATAGGTTCAAGAAACACAAGCAAGCAGGGAGCCACTCTAACTCCTTCCGCTTGTCCAACGGCCGGACGGATGACGCAGGTGAGGCCTGTGCTTTATACGTTGGTGCCGCTCGGGGAGCAAAAGCGCTGTGAGTCTCGGGAATGAATAAGCTGGATTCCAAGGTGTGCAGAACAGGTCAATGAAGACGTTCTTCAAAGGGCAGCGAACGCTTTAGTCGCGGGGCGTTTTTTTTTTTCCTTTTTGAAAACGGTCGCTCTCAAAAAGAGCAGGTAGTCAGCCAAAGGCAGCTACTTACATAATCAGCAGTTCTCCTAAAACAGATTGCAAAAATTACAAAAGTGCCATAAAAGCCTCAAAATGTCGAAACCAGGATATTTTTTTCCCCTCTGGGGAATCTCACAGGACAGAGCAGGGCTCCCCGCAGTGATCTGCCAACCACGCCGTGGCTTCCCCGTTTCCAATGCGGTAGTGGCACGTGTGCAGCCTTTCGGGCACGCGGCCAAAGTAAGAGCTGGTTGCATATTTTATGTGACCTTATGAGAACACGGGACATCTCGAAGAGGAACGGGAAAACACTTGTCAAGTACTGGTTTGCAGGGGTGGTTTGCTGGGAGTCTGTAAAAGGGAGACCGAAGCTTGTATGCTGTCTGGTTATGTTCTTAAAAGGTATATAAAGGGGTTCTTGAACCCCTTTGAGAATAATATAAATGGTGGGAATAACGTAAGTGGTGGGAATAATGTAAATATTATGCCAGAAAACAGCACTGTAGAGGTTCAGGAGTGCCAGTGAGTTGGCACTGCAGCAGTTTGAGCCCAGTGAAATGAAGCCCCTCGGGACCCCCAGGTCAGCACAAATGATTTCGCTCTCCTGCACGACATTTTTGCCAAAGAAATATTTTTTCATCTACATTTTTATTTGTTTCTTGCTCTGGGCTTCCTCCTTTTTTACATCGTTTTGGCAAGCGGTTATAAAAAGAAAGTGCTCTTCCCAGCTTGCATTCACGTGGCGGAATGTTTTCCCTCAAGTGGTTAGTATTAAAATGTATGATCACTTCCAAAAACTAGCTACTGAGAATTCCTCTGCAGTTTTCACAATACCTGTTTGACTCCGATGAACAGGAACTTGAGAGAACCCATCTTGGCAAATAGTTAAATACCCTTCTAACCCTTCAAATTAAGGTGACAGCTGAATAAAACTCGAGCATCTTGCGAATATCTTCATGCTCACTGTAGACACCAACCAACCAAGCAGGGAAGACAAAGCAGGGAATTCGTTGTATTTTCTTTATGAAAACCTTTTCAGACCTCTTAGATACACACAACGACACGCAAATCCATATGGTAAAGACACCCAAAAATGACAAATCCAATGAGGAGGTCTTAGGCGAGCCTGCTGTAACGTGCATGACTAAGTTAGGACATTGGGCTCCTGCTCCTGTCCCCGTCGCTGCCGTGTTTTGTGGCTTTGAGGCAGCGCGCAATCGGTCAGCGCTCGACCTTCTACGAGGCGTTGGAAGACCTTCGTATGACCAAACCGTCCCCAAATCTTCGTGCGGGAGGGAAAAATGGAGGAGCGGGGATAGCTAGGGCGCGCAGGGGCCCCGTGCCCGCCTTCGCTCATGCCCGCGTGTCCCCTTGCAGAGCCGCAGAGCATGCCGCTGCTCGCCCGGTCGCCCAGCACCAACCGCAAATACCCGCCTCTACCCGTCGAGAAGCTGGAGGAGGAGATCAACCGGCGCATGGCGGACGACAACAAACTCTTCCGGGAAGAGTTCAACGTGAGTGCTTTGGCTTGATCCCCTCTCCTCCGAGCGCCGGCCCAAGGGCTCGATTCGTGGCAGGCGATAGGAACGGGACGTTTGGTTTAGGGCGGTGTTTTGCTGCGGCCGAGCCGGTCCGGGATGTCGCTTGTCTTTCGGAGCGGCGCGGAAACCTTCTCCGTTATTCTGCAAAGCGCCGGGGCTTTGTTGCAATCGCGGCATTAGTTATTCTGCAGCCGCCGAGGAATTTCGTCGTTTAGGGGGACGAAGAGCTTGACAGAGACGGGATTCAAATGCTCCGTCGTCCTTTGCTTGAATCCTGCCTCCCGGCCGGGCTGCCATCAGGGTAGGGCTCATGACACGCGGTGGAAAAAGGCTGCTCTGGCTGCGCGGAGGCAAAGCAGCCGGGACACGACCGAGCGGCCTGCGCGGGGATTTTTACGGGCCCGTCACAAGACGTGCGGCGAGGCGTTTGCCTCCCTAGCTGGGCGAGTGGGGACGCTTGCGCTGTTTGCCCGCGCGGTCCTGTCTGCCCCTCGCCTGCTTGCCCTTTGCAGAGCTGTCCTTCCTCTTCAGGCATCTTCAGGCCTGTTGTCCTCCTACCGCTTGTGTTAAAACCGATCTTGGTTTTATTTACTTGGGCCTGCCCCTCCCCTCCCCTGAGGGGCCCTTCTCTTCCCTTTGCGGCAGCGTGACATGATAACCAACTTGGGGAAGTCACATGAATGCGACGGGTGACTGAACCGATAAGACGAGGTGCTGAGCGGCTCTCTGGCTGGCGCCAGGCAGCGTGCTGAAGTAAATGCCGAAGTAAACGTAAAGCAATATGGTGTAGTTGTTTGAAACCCACAAACAGCCAAACCAAGAGCTCTGGCAGGGAGATATAAATGACCCCACTTATCTCAATGAGCTGTTAACCCTGAAACTGAAGGATGGCGATTTATAAGACAACGGTTAGGCCTTCAGCGCTGATCATTTTTGGCAGTAATGCAGCGCTGATCCCACAGTAGCAGATCGTCCCCTCTGAAGCGTGCAAAGGCTCCTCCTGCTCTTGCCAAGCTGCAGCCTCTCGTGACGTTGAGCCTGAGGCAGTTGCATCTTGGCAAGGCGAAAGTATGCGACGCTGTGAAAAGCGGCGGGGCGGGGGACAAAGTTAAACAACCAGGCTGAGCACCCCAGCGCGCTCCGCCAGAGCTGCTGAGCTGCCTGGCTTCCCCGTTCGGCCCAATTCGTTAAAGAAGATCTACTCTCGTTTTGAACGTCTGCGCTGCCAAGGTTGCGTCTGCAGACGCCCGGAAGGCGTCGGAGGTTTTGCTGCCACCTTGCGTCCGTGGGTCCTGGCGGTCCGTATATCATGTCCGGAGGGGATTTGCGCTCCGTGCTAGGGCTCAGACTTCAATGTCACCTAGAGCTCAGCGGGACAAGAGGCGGCGCGGCCGAGCGGGGCGGGCGACGCACCTCGCGCCGCAGCCCGGGCGCTCCCCTACCGCTCGTCTCCTCCGCCCGGGAGCCCCCCT